CTCCTCTCTAGTAGTATCCCAAGTCGAAAAAAATTTAGGAGTCCTGGTGCCCCATGACTTAAAGTCTTACGCTAACTGTGACAAAAATGCCTTCCGAGCAAACCTTGCACTGGTAACGTTGAGGCGCATTTTTGGCCAGTTTGACGGAAGAACTTTCCACACAATCTTCAATAGTTTCATCCGTCCCCATTTAGAGTACGGAAACACAGTACTCCCCCCCTCACTCCAAAAGGATAAGGTCACCTTGGAGCGTATCCAACGGTGAGCCACGAAATCAGTTCGAGGACTCAAATCTAAGCCTTACGAAGAACGCCTCCGTTCACTAGACCTTTACCCACTAGAATATAGGCGTCTTAGAGGTGATTTGTTAATGGCTTATAGTATTCTTAACACTTCTGGACATCCTCTTAAACACCTACTTAAGCTTAGTTCGAACAATAACCTAAGGCGTAACACCCAGAAACTGGAAACACAACATAGCAAGACGGAATGTAGACACAACTTCTACTCCTTAAGAGTTGTCAAAAGCTGGAACTCGCTGCCGGCCGAGCTAGTCCAAGCGACTTCTCAGGAGTCCTTCAAGAGGCAACTTGACCTATTCTTAAGAACCAAGGACAGCATCACACTATGATTTACCAATTTCTTTTCCTCGTTTATTCTTAACATACCTAGGTTCCTGCCTGGAGGATTTCGTGATCCCCTGCTACTAGACACGGAATCCTGTTAAGCGAAAGCTTCTTCTATTCCGTCCACAACCATTTGAACCATTTGAACCATTTTGACAAGAGCGGTAATTCCGTATTTCAGCTGCTCTAGGTTTGAATTGCGCTTGTTGTGTTGCCGGAATATCACGTGTTTTCATATTTAAGTGATCTTTTGCTGAAACAAAGCCGCAAAATTATTGCGAAGAACATTTATTTAGCCCTCTCTGTATTGTAGTGCATAAGTTGTATTGACTGTAGCTTCGTAACTTGCCAATCTCCCTAATTTGGGAAAAAATGTGCCTAGATGGGTGAACTTTGGGGATAATTTTGGTCTAGGGCGCCATCATCTGTTTGCCTGGAAGCAAAAAGAATAGTGAGCAGACTTAGTCAGGATCATGGATAGATTGTGACAGGTTAGCTCGATGAATTGCGAAATATAAGCTGTATAGTTCATTATATTCTTATACATTGCAGTCGATGAGAGATAGATAACACTCACACCTGCTATAAAAATAATGATTTCGTGAAAGTTAAAAATGACTTTGTGTTTGCTTCATAAGTACCAGTTACATTACGAAATCTCATAGTACTGAGTCCATTTATAATTATCGCTTGAATATTGAGTTTCTTCACTATGACAGTAAATTCCAATGAATACTTGTAGTGTCATTCATTCAATCGGATGGCACGACTCAATCTATCAGACGTGCTCGTTATGTGTAACTTTTTACCATTCACACTGAATATAATATTCTATCCCCAGCACAAATGTGTTCTTCGGAAGAACTAAGTGTCATCGTTAATTGTCACGAAACGATGAGTCAGTGTAGACATGGATGTGACTTCCACGTAAGACCTTACAGATTGGGCAACCACACGAAAAATTTACCGTTTTGTGATTAAGTCTATCATCAAAGTAGTATTAGTACAGAACTAGACTATAATTTTACAAGTAAGCACTATTTAGACATTACTCGTCAATATACATTAGAACTCTGTTCATAATTTGCTCAGTGATTTCGGATTCTGTTCACAGAAATTCATTCGTTAACCCTATAATAGACACGTCATAAATCAGTATTAACTACCACATAGTTTAGTTGTCATACTCAAAACAAACACGCATTGCTTTACTTTCGAAGAATATGTGACTGAATAATATGGCACTTACAGCAATGTTATACACAGTTCCTGTGTATGTTCAGAAAGCGGTCAGAAAAGGCTATCAACGTTAATTGTTATTCATATTATTTTTTCCTCAGATACGTCATATGATATTATGTCAGTTCAGTAATAAACGATGATACTTATAATGGAAAGAACTGTTTATGATTGTGTATCAGGAACTTATATAATATTCAAAAATGGAATTGAAAAATTTCCAGAATAAACATCAAAGTTTAACTTCCAAGAGACTCGTTATTTTATACATTTTGTGATTGGTTCACACCTTGCAACATAACGAAATATCTGAAACTTCATTAACTAACCATTTCAACTAGATGAGTTGAATAACTCGTTTTGAAGATATCTTCCAGACAGAATATTTTGAGCAGACGAATTGAGGATAGAGACACTACCTTTGATATAGTGGAGAACTACCTTTAAGTCGTCTGTTCGTCCACTGCAACTTGAATATTTATGTATGAAAATAATGTATTGGCAAAATTTCAAAATGCACGTTTGGAAGCTACTGTGAAGATATGGAGTATACTTCTTGGTCTTCCATAAATTTTAGTCTCACACATTAACCTTTTCCCGGTCTTTTTACTTTCTTCAGTTACTGTGAGATATTTAAAGAACTTGTTTGGGTTTTTGTACCTATGCCTATTATTTTCAACTTGTTACCTAGTAACACTTCGTAGCATGTGATTATAATCATCTCTGTATGAACAGGTTATTTCGTTCACAATCAAGTGGTTTTTGTAAATTATTCTGTTCTGTATGCATTGCGATTCTTTTGATAATGTTTGCAGCGATGTCTTTGGCAAGTTTTCTTTATTATACCATCACACCATGTTTATTAATAAAATGGTCATTAGAAGGAACGTTTTAATTCGCCGTTAAAACTCAATTTCTTGAACTGAGTGCCTGATACAAAGTTTTTCTTTCATCCAGTTGAAATGTAAACAAGTCCAGAACTTGTGTGGTAGCCACCAATAGTTATCAATTACTAAATTTAACAACAATAATCAATAATAAATTATTGTCTTAATGGTATCGTTTCATCTTGTTTCCAGGATATAACTCAGAATATTTGTATTTATGAAGTGGTTTGGTCCATTAATGAAGTCCGATGAAAAGTGACATGATTTTTATTTGTTTTAGACACGTGAACACTGGTACAAGAAGGCAACAAGTACATATGTGTGAGGGCTAGACTAGCGATCGGGCACCCAAACCGAAACAGGTGGTTTTCTAAGCGTGCCACTCCTCGAGCCGCTGACCTACGGGTCTAACCCACAAGACAGTGGATCAACGTTATGAGATGCAGTCACATGATAGTCGATTGCGAACAATAGGTTCATACGCCCTTTGTTCCCTCGGGTTCCTAGAGCCCATGTGCACCACCGATTTCGAATCAGGGTTTTTCGACTTCTCTAGGTTAATCTTCTGTATCCACCGACCCGGTTAAAGCGCCGGACACTTGCTTATCAGCAGTGTTTACTCACTGAATATTTCCTCTTTAAAACGTGGTTAACTTTAAAGTCGAACAGCGTAAAAACCTGTATAAATCAAACTTTGACAAATTGGATTCGCTAGTGTCCGTTTTAGAGAAAATTTATTTTTGTGTACTTTACGTTTGTATGGATTCGTTTAGATTGGAGCAAATAGATAAATGTTTGTGTTTTATACACCTAAATAGCTCCTGATGATATTTGTTTGTGTGTTAAAACGTTACTGAAAACTTTGTTTTCAGAAGTTGTCCGTCGTTGAAATCTGAAACTGCAATCTTACGTTGTGCACATACCTAGACGAAAAATAGAAGTAATCCTCTGGGTCATGGAACTGACATAATGTTAATCAGCAAGACCAGTGATTGTCGTTGTTATAATTAAAAGATGTTTTGCTATCACATTGTTAATATCGTTGTTCTGAAATTCGGTCTGTCTTTACTGATATTTTACTGCTAGCCATAATTCATCTATCCCATGGATAACAATTAAGTTGTTTACTTATAAAGACTTTTAAAATGATTAAATGAAGCTTTCAGAATTTCGAATCTCATCCAATACAGTCTGTAAATGACAATTTACAAACAACCGTCTTTGCACACTAGCAATTCGAAAGTCTTGTAATTGCATTTGCAAAACTGTGGGTTGTAACCAGCCTCCGAGCATCAATGTTTATGTAATTATTGCTAGCAAGTATACTAGATCTCAGTTCTGTCTGCGCTTTTTTTAAACCGAGATTCATTTCATTATCTGATGTTGTACTTATACTTGATTACACTAGCTCTCTTCAATCAAGCACTGTCATCTCCTATAGAATAAAAATGAAGTAAATGGAGGGGATAAAGAGAAAATTTGTCTTGATTATTTGAAGTCACCTTGGTTTGTACTGATTCACATGGATTCAACATGGCTTAGCTACAATCAGTTATTCCTAACTACTTATATTTATATGCATCTCTCTATTTATTTCTACAACTAAGCAGTGTTTATAAATAAAAATCTGAATATTTGGGATATGTGATGTTGAACATTGATGATTTGCTTACATTTTATAGTACATATATTTATTGGGATACCTTATATTTTCATTTGTTTAGTTGCTAAGAGAGATTTTTCATCAATCGGGGCGGTCGAGACATTTGTTACGTGTGCCTAACGTTCATCCATCTTGGTGGAAAGTGAAAGCTCGTTTAGGAATAACTTGCAAGAAAGTTAGGGTACTCAAACTAAAATGTGGTATCAGTCCACCAAGTTATTGGCTGTTGGCTTGAGCCATATGGGTTGGTGCAGATTACCTGGTTGATGTCCGCGGTTGGTGACGTCGTTTGACGTGGCTAATAACCGACCACGATGGCACATAGACATTCACACTGTCCTTCTCTAGATCTGGGGTTTCATTATTCCGTCGTACATTGGCCATTCATTATGTCTTTTCGTACCATGGTTTCAGTGTTTAGTCTTTTCATTATCATTACCACTACAGTTATTTCCACTCCTTTGTTATTCGTCAATGTGATATGGTAACTAGGACCAACGAGCGTTTATGCCAGGCTTTAAATTGACTGTTCCTGATTGACTGTCGGACTATTGGTTTTATTATTATCATTATATTCCCATTTTACAAATGTTGTATCTTTTTCTAAATAGCTCTTGTAACACGAATATCTAATGGAAATCATGTGGATCCTGAACAGATTGGTGGTTATTTAATCAGCTTAGATTATAATGAAATAGTAAAAAGTGATTGAAAATGAAGAAGTTGCTTAGCTGAGGCAATGTGTAATCCCAAATCAAATCATTTACCGCATCAGTTCTCTTTACCGGCGCCGAAAATTGCAGCAACCAAATATTCAATTAAGGATGATGATGATTCATTTAGCAGCTACGGTGAAAGTGGTCATTGTGAAAATAATCATGATCGTCTACTGAACAAAGGCAATTTGGCTACATTTATATTACGGATAAAAGATATAGGTTTGACTAAATGAACCACAACTATGAGTGAGTTATTTGGTTTTCAACTTTCATTCGTTTTATTCATTCAAATCATGTTTGTTGCGAAAGATTATCACAAGCAACGTAGAACTTAGCACAAGCGTCTATCGGTTCAGCTCACCAGATCATATCAACACAACAAGATGAAATTATCAAGAGAAATCCCATCACTGTCTCCACTGATTCTGAGCCATGTTAACAATGTCTCCAGCCATTGCTCACGTTAGTCACTCTTATCTCAACCAGGCAGTCTACGCTCATCAACATAGCTCAAACTATAAATATGGTATGGGGAAAAGTCAATCAAAATTGAGAACATGGCTTGTGGATTTTTGTGCAAAATTCATTGATCACGTATCACTAATATGAGACATACTTTTGTATTCGTTTAAACTCATAACGAAATATCAATTATTGCCACAGTGTTAAATGTATTCTATAATTAGTTTTTCCTTTGTAAATTGTAAATAAGGAGGAAACCAACACTGTCCTTACATTCTAATCTTAAACCTTTAATGCTGAAACAAACATTCACTTATTGGCACTATAACTAATGGCTTCTTGGATGAGTGGAATCCTGCCATCCATATTTCTGTCGAGGGAATGTTTTGTATTATATCTGATGCAAATTCGTGACTGTAGAATTATGGTCTACTATGATATTAGTACTGCTCTAATAATAGACCTAATCCTAAATTTGTAGATTTGTCATGATATAACTGCCTAATCTATAAGATCTTACGTGGAAGTCACACCATCGACTACGCCAACTCACTGTATCGTATCAATTACCAATACATGATGTAGAATAAGGTTAGGCTAGAGAAAGAACAACATATTTAATATGAATAGAAGATATGAGGTAACATTGAGATGGACCACGCCTGCATGACCGAGCCATGCCATCCGATCAAATCCAGTCCATTCAATTCCTTGTTCGCGCCTTCTCCATTGTTAGGTATTTCTCCGTGTTAAATATTGAATATCTATTTTCCGAGTAGTCTCGTGTTCACAGCATTGTGGATTGTGTGGCTATTGTCCAATGCCACTACAATACTCTCCAACCAGAATCAACGTGATGTTGGTTCGATACCAAATTGGATGGGATCGTCGCGCGCCGAAGGTTACCAAGGATAATAAGAATCCTCCGGGTATTGGTAAGCTGAAAGATAAATCAAAAAGAAAGCGGCAGCATCTGGTCGGGAAATACATGTAATAATTTTAAAATATCTGCCTTCATGCATAGAACGCTCGAAATGAGAATTTGGGTGAAGATTATTTGAACTATAAAGAATGGCAAAACAATAATGTTAATTCTATCGAAGCGTCGAAGTAACCCCGATTGAGATACGCGCAAAATCGAAGTTCCAAAACAACGATTTGTCTACAAAAGCGGTTCTTTATTAAATAATACACAAAATTTAGTTACAAACCTCAACTTGTGAGGTGTCTAGGCGTTTAAACGCGTCGTTCAAGAATGAAAATAGCAAAAGCTTCCTGTAAGAGTAACATAAAGAATGATTACAACATACGATAGTCCAAAGACAGCCGATAGCTGTGTCTAAATTTGGTAACAGTTTATGAACAACCGAAACTCGAACCAAGAGCAAACAATATGGAAACTGTTGCATTCAAACAAATGCATAAAACTGTGGATAACCTTTACAGTAATTAAATTACAGTGATTATAATGATAAATACAATTATAAGTAAAATAAACATTAAAGATATATGTGAACATTCCAGAATGTTACAGTACAACTTGAGTTACAACATAAGTGTGAAAATTGTTGGGTATACAACTGCCTACTGAATGTAAATAAGTAGTATAAAACAACATACAAAAGAGTAGAAAAGGAGCATGTAGGAACAATGTAAGACAAACTTAACACCGCCCCCCAAAGACAGCATGTCTTTCCTTACTTTCGCAGATTAGGTATTAACGTAAAAACATTCAGAGGTGACAATGGTACGATTTACTCTAGCCACAGTCACTCTGAAAAGTCTCTCTATCCTCTACTTTTCGGTCGTCAGCTCCTTCTAATAAACAAATTTTACGTATCTCTAATAATTGTACCTTTCCACGTTCTGATCTTCGCTTGTTTCCATAGACCATCTCCTCCTGGGTCAAAACTTACCACGAGGCCTTTAGGCCAGTTATTTCGTGCATAAATGTCTCCAATAATCAAGACTGAATCGCGAACTTGTAAATCTTGTCTTCCCTGTGTCCATTTTGGTTGCGTCTGTAAGAGTGGTCTATCATTAGGTATTCTTCCTGCTTCAGTCAAACAGATGGTGAGTGTCTCGTAGGACATAGATACTGTGCTCAAAGGTCTGCGTATGCTTCCTATTAATCTTTCCCATACTCGATGATGATTTGCGTAGGGAGTGTTGTGGTGCCGTTCTATGTTCCGATTAGTCATTTCTTTAGCTACTCTACTATCATTAAAGCCTGGTAATGGATGTTGTATCTGCTTGTCTAACCCAACTAAAGGGGGGATGGATGTAGTTGTCTTAAACTTCTTATCATCATCAACAGACTGAATAAAACAATCATCTTTCTGATTCTCTGTTTCACGCTTGATGTCAATAGAACTCTCAGCAGACGCTACTACAGGAGATACAAGTTTCGTATTTGCAGAGAACTGAGTTGTTGTTGCTTTGCAACTAATTGATGACTCGTGTAGTTGTATCACAGACTTAGCACTATTGTTTACGTCAGAAACACTAGGTAGATCTGTTTCGGTAGAGAACGTAACAGATGTTTTCGATGACATTAACTCGCCGCTATCTGTTGGAAGAATTTTGTCTGGAGGAGAAATACATCTAAGGTCATTATTCACTACTGTGTCGACATGACGATCGTTGGCAGTTTTTAGAAGGTACTCATCGTCAACAGCTGGTAATGAAATAACTTGTTCTAAATCCATTAGATTCTCGTCTGTCGCTTTAGATACAGAGTCAAAGGTGTCTATAAGTCGGTTACTTCTTGAATCAGGTGGAGTGTCAAATCCAGAAGAACGAACTGACGGTAAGCCTTGATGGACCCTGGAATCTTCAGTCTTAACAGCGGTTGCTGCTACTATGAGTGAGCGTACATCATCATCATCGACTAAGAGTGCCACATCAGGAGTGTTTAAGGCATAAACCAGGATCATCTATGAACAGCAACGAACGATTTGAAGAATTTTCAGGCGCTACTGTGGCCAAAGAAGGAGGCGGCGTGGGTCCGTTCTCGATAGAACTCTTTGCTTCTAAACAGTTTATGAAGACTGAAGTTTTATTAAGTTGACCCGTTGGCCCAAATAAAGCCCACCCTAACATGGTTAGTGAAGCATAGGATTGTTTAGGTTTTCCGATACGCTGATCGAGTACCCAGTGGGCCTCTGGAACGTCAACACCAAGTAACAAACCAACCTTGTCACAGGCTATGGTAGGTAGTTGTACACCTTTTAAGTGTTCCCATCTTTCTTGGAAGTCCGTTGGTGGGATTTCTGCTCTTTTAATAGGTAAGTTATCTATAGTATATGCACCTTCGATTTTTATTCGGTTGGTCTTATCTAAAGACTCAATTTCGAAATTGGTAAGTTCAGCGTTCTGAGATGACGCTCCAATTACCGAAGATATGTTTAATTTTGTCACTGTACCAGAAATTCCTACCTGCTTTGCCACGTCACTAAGCAGTAATGTCGAGTCTGAGCCATTATCTAACAATGCATAGGTATCCACGATGTCATGTGCTCTGCCGAACCGTTCATGTAGAATTTTAATTGCCTCAGTATAACCTTGCTTTTCTGGTAATAAAACACAGTGTTCTATAGCATCCTTTGCTATACCTTCGCAATAGTGTATCAGGTACATTAATTTCTGAATGTCATCATTTACTCTGCCAGCTATGTTAACCTTGAATCCCTTCATGAACGTCCGAAATTTCAGAGGGCTCCCGTCAAATTTCGTGATTTCTATCTTCGGTAAGCTTACTGACATACATAGCGCCTTGACGCTATCTACCTGTGCTTTGAATTGCATTTCATCGCTCGAAGGTACATTGGTGTATCGGTGACTTGCTGTAACTGCTGAAGTCTTATCCTCGGATCGAGACCCTGACAACTCGGTAGTCTCCCTAGGTCTTCTCACTTTGTTTGAAAAGTTCGGAGTTAGCTCTAACAATCGCTTGCGTAGTTGGAGTTCTCTAATCTCCAGCTTAATCTTTTCTACTTCCCTTTCCCTAGAAACCATTTCGTCTTCTACGCTGTATCTAGTGTCTACATAGTTGTCTCCTACCGAGCAACTGTCTTTGGGGTTAGGTTTAACAATATCAAAAGCAAGATTTAAAGGAATAGATGAATTCACCTTAGAAACTGAAGGAATAATATTGTCAGCAGTAGAATTGTCTGTGTCTTGGGAACTGTCGTCGTTGTACTTCATCCTTCTCGTTCTAGTCATCGTTGGGATGAATGAACCAAACAGGATTACGGCCAAATTCGTTACAGCAAGTATTACCTCCAATTAGGACCAAAGTTCAGAACTGTATCCACACCAAATGAGACCGAAGTTTGGAACTGTATCCACACCAAATGAGACCAAAGTTGAGAACTGTATCCACACCAAATGAGACCAAAGTTGAGAACTGTATCCACACCAAATGAGACCAAAGTTGAGAACTGGTATCCACACCAATGAGACCAAAGTTGAGAACTGTTAATTCTATCGAAGCGTCGAAATAACCCCGATTGAGATACGCGCAAAATCGAAGTTCCAAAACAACGATTTGTCTACAAAAGCGGTTCTTTATTAAATAATACACAAAATTTAGTTACAAACCTCAACTTGTGAGGTGTCTAGGCGTTTAAACGCGTCGTTCAAGAATGAAAATAGCAAAAGCTTCCTGTAAGAGTAACATAAAGAATGATTACAACATACGATAGTCCAAAGACAGCCGATAGCTGTGTCTAAATTTGGTAACAGTTTATGAACAACCGAAACTCGAACCAAGAGCAAACAATATGGAAACTGTTGCATTCAAACAAATGCATAAAACTGTGGATAACCTTTACAGTAATTAAATTACAGTGATTATAATGATAAATACAATTATAAGTAAAATAAACATTAAAGATATATGTGAACATTCCAGAATGTTACAGTACAACTTGAGTTACAACATAAGTGTGAAA